GCAGCTCAGGAATGAAGCACATTCTAGAGAAGTTCTTTAATGTTACTCGAGCTCTCCTAGAGCGTACTCAAACCACACGCAGCCGTTTCACCTCAGCACGCCCATAGCAGGTCCTGATGCAAGCCCTGTGCCAGCAGACAACCTGGGAGCAGATGCTGCTCACTATCTCCGCTCTCCCTGAAACAAAAAGCTTTGGAAGTTCTTAAAGGGTACTACCCTGCTCAAATAAGACTGCAGCACATGTGTGTATATGTGGTCTGGGAAATAATTTCCTGGGCTACTCCAAACTCAGAAGCCTTGCTCAATACAACACTAGTACGTACACAAAGTTGGATCTCCTCCAGAAGAGCATGAGTATAATTGAAAATATGAAAGCCTGATTTTTTTCAGAATTAAGGGAAATGTGATGTGGAATCTTCCCACCCATTAGCTGCCAAGAAAGCATTCATGATTTGTGGTTGGTAAAGAGGGAACACCTGGCTTATCCCAGGTAAATGGGACAGATGCTGCTTCTAGGGATAAACACAGACAAGAGCGAGAAATTTTAGTAATGGTTGTTCATTCTCTAGCACAAAGTCATTCCTGATCTGATTAGAGCATAAGCAATTTGAAGGCACGCTTGTATGTGCCGTAACATAGTGCACATGTGCAACAGGCAACCCATGTCAAAAGGCTGGTAGCTATATTACTGATAGACAGTACCATGTCCTTAAGGTTCCAAAGTGTTAAAAGCAGGTAACCACATTGTGCTAGCAGAGCTCTAGAGTTCATATACAGGGTATAAATAGGCAGTCTGAAAAACTGGTGTCTTCCAAGAGTGTCCTGTTTATATAATCCTTGTCAGTAGGACTTAGACATAACATTAAATAGTCCCCAGAGGACAAGAGGACACTGGTCCTAGAGAGCTGCACTTAGCAAAATCAAAATGTATCAGTAATTTGTCTTCAAGATCCAAAATTCTCCATGTTGTTACAGTTACTGATGTTACCAATGACAGAACAATTCCATCCTCCAATTTTTTTGTTAAAGTCTTCCAGACAAGAACAGCTTCAAAGAGAAAAAAATAATTTGTTCTTGCTCTTTAAAGCATGATTAAGTAGCCTATAATACAGGAGACGAGACTGCATTTCATGCGTGCTGCTGCACTGTTACCCCAGTCATATTCCAGTACCCAAACCTGAGGGCAAGCTCTTGCTTTTTCAGAGATAGAGACACCAGTTTCTTTGAAGAACAACTGGTTGGGGAGTCATTCCAAAAGCATCTGGTATCTTTGGTTCCACCATTTAGCAACCAGGCTTCAAGTCGGAGTAAGGCAATCTGCATTTAGGAATAACATGAAAGAGGAAGAACCTCAGGGATTACTTAAGATCTGGGTAAAGGTTTCTCTTGGTGGAGAAAGTTGGAAACTTCTCTTACTTGTAAATCTATGACAGTAGACTGAAGCCTTCAATATTAGAGCCCACTGGGAATACTAGCCTTCAAGTCTGGCTCTCAGTAACAGCCAGCAAGGCAGGGATTAGGAACAAGATTTCTGAAAGTACACAAACTGCAGAAAGTCGAAGATCCAGGTCAGAAGTTGCAAAACAGTGGAAAGTCCAAGTCTGCAAAGTAGAATTTCAGGAACAAACCAAAAAAGCTCACTGCTTCACAGGCATTGCTCAAGCTTCTGCTTATTTTTCTCCCTCCACCTACTTTGGCTTGTCATACTGCTGAAGCTAGGGTCAGGACTTCCAGCTACAGAATGGAACTTCATTCAAACATCCCCAACCATCTTCTAAGAGCAGAAAATTCAATGGCACAATTATTCTTTAGGACAGTAGAGATCATTCTTTTAATAGCAGCCCACACTGACAGTGGTCAGTAGATTTGTGTCCAGAAGGTCAGCTTCTCTCAAAGTAACTCACATTGTGTCAGAACTACTGGAGGGCTTTGGACCAAACTGATCTCTTTGCTCATCAGGAACAGCTGGATATGTTCCCATTTCTTCTTTCAAGCCTTTGAATTAGTTGTTAAAATACAACATTAAACCAGAAGATATAATTCACACAGGAATTACAAACACTTAACTATACCTTAAAAATGGAAAACATGTTCCATTCAATTCAAACACATCCATTTTTGCTTTGGCAGGATTCAAGAATAGAGAAGGGAACTCTACATGTGAAAGTCAACAATGTAAGGCAAGAAATAATAGCAAATAAAAACCAGTAGAAGTTTAAAGAAAAGAAAAACTAGGAAAGCCAAGGTCCTTGTTCAAAAAGCTGTGAGGAAACCCTCCGATTCAGGAGAAAGGTGAAAGTGGTGGCATGACACAGATTCCAGCCAGATGTGCTATAGAATCATAGAATAGTTAGGGTTGGAAAGGACCTTAAGATCATCTAGTTCCAGCCCCCCTGCCATGGGCAGGGACACCTCACACTAAACCATCTCACCCAAGGCATCGTCCAACCTGGTCCTGAACACCACCAGGGATGGAGCATTCACAACCTCCCTGGGCAACCCATTCCAGTGCCTCACCACCCTAACAGGAAAGAATTTCCTCCTTATATCCAATCTAAACTTCCCCTGTTTAAGTTTTGACCCATCAGCCCTTGTCCTGTCACTACAGTCCCTAATGAAGAGTCCCTCCCCAGCATCCCTATAGGCCCCTCTCTGCCAGATGTGGGAGATACACATCTACCATTTTTCTTAAGGTTTAACATCACGGGCCTTTCTCTGCATTCATTTCTGAGAATTTTCACACTTTACTAAATGGAAGCTTTTAGGAACTAGCATGTCAGATAACCAAAAGGTGGAAACCCTTATTTCCCACACTAAATCAAACTGACTTTGGCTCTTCTATTTAGTAAAGCACAAAGCTCAAGTTAAGCTTTGTGCATTGGGTCTGGCTGAGATGGAGTTAACTTTCCCCACAGCAGTCCTCCTAATGCTGTGTTGTGTATTGGTAGCTAGCAAGGTGTCGGTAACACACACTGTTTTGGCTACTGCTGAGCACTGCTCCACAGCATCATGCCTGTCTCTGCAACATTCCCTCCGCCCCAGTAGGCTGGGGGTAAGATCCTGGGAGAGGACACAGCCAGAACAGCTGACCCAAACTGACTAAAGGGATGCTCCAGATCATATGATGTCTGCTCAGCAATAAAAGCTAAGAGAAAGAAGGAGGAGGAGGGCCATTTGTTATTACGATGTTTGTCTACTGGAACAACCACTACACGTACTGAAGCCCAGCTTCCTAAGAAGTGGCTGGCCGTCACCTGCTGATGGGAAGTAGAGAATAAATCTTTGCTTCTGCCCATGCCCTTTGCTTTTGCTTTATTGAACCACCTTTATTTTGACCCTCATCTTACGTTATTTTCCATCTTATTTTCTCCCCTGGCCCCATAGTGATACAGCTTGATGGGCACGTGATGTCCAGCCAAGGTCAACCCATCACAAGTACCACAGTAACATAGAACCACAAATTCAGATTAGTTCAAGCATGGGAAGAACAAGTTTGCTTTGCTTAGAAGAAGATATAATCATATAATCATGAAGACATACCCTTCAGTCTACTCAGGTACCATTACTTATTTGACTGTCACTTCATAGCTCATTAGAGCATTGTTAGGCACTAAAGTATAACAGAATATAAACAAAACAGTTGAAGTATTTTCTAAATAGACTACAAACTTCAGTCGAAATTAGTCTAATTAAAAAGGTCTTAATATACAGATACAGAAGTCAAAGGAGAAACCTGATAGCTCTTAGCACTTGTCTCCATAAACCAAGTTTACTGGATCAACTTGCCTCACCGGTTTTTTAGCATTTTACTACAGAACTACATTAACTGATTGATATCAGAACAAAAACAACTTTCAAAGTATCATTTTATTATGTTCAAAATGTGAATTAGGTTAACTGCTACTCAGGAGCTACTTAAACTATAATGTGATAAATTACACTGTAAGGATTATCAGATTTCATAGAGACCTAGTACAGGTGGCGTGATGTGCAGCTACACATCTCAGCACTAAGCAACAGGTTGTTTGGCAGACATTCCTCAGCCAAAACAACTGCAATAATCTTTACTTTGAAGCAAGTGTGCTTTGGAGGAAAAGTTCAAAAGGTGTTTGATTCCCAGAGAGTGATAATCCTACAACTGCCTATTTTGTTCAGAGACCTGCAGGAAATACCTTCTTGACAAATTAAGTTGCTTGACCTTTCCTTTCCAGAAACCACATTGAAATAAATGTCACAAGAGAAAATGTCAGAGATGTGAAAAGAATCAGCCAATTTTTTGCTTAACACCAACCGGTAGGAATATAAACTCAATTTTCTAGTTAATAAAGGAGTAACTTTATGGCAGTAACTTTAACAAATAAAGTAACTGCCATAACAAATTACTTATATTTATTATCTTCAGGTAAGTAAAACACAGACGCAATCTCTCTAAAACATACTGTCCCTAATCACAGAAATTGATTTAAAATCAAAATCATATAGATCATAAACCAACCATGTCACAGAATGTTTTTGACAATTTACTTCACAAGAATAAAGAATGGCATTCTAATAATGTCTTCTTTTGAAGACAGACAGAGAAATACTAGTTTAACTGTAGGCCAGTTTATTAATAACAATCCATCCATTGCTTACAGTTTACAGTTTCTTAAATATTAAAACCAAATAAGCCATAGCTGTAGCCAATCCTATGTAGCTTTTCACATTAAAAAAAGGCTTCTTTAGGTTCCATACATTGGCAAAACCTACATACTTACTTGAAAAAGAGCATCCCTGTCATAATGAAATTTGGTTTACTGAACAGAGAAAATAAATGGAAGAGGTTCCAATCAAAGCTCCTATTCAAATCAAAGCAAGGGTTTAAAATAAAGGGAAAGAATACAGTGGTTATTGCTCTGCCTCCACCAGCCCTACTGTGAAATTTTCATATCCTTTTAAAGATGTATCCGGCACTCTGTAAAAGAAAAACACACAAATACACCCCAGAAAAAAGTACTCACACTGTTTGGGTGTTGAATGGCAACTTCGTGCTGCAGCCTAACACGCTGTGGCATCATCACATCATCCTGGAATAAATAGCACACTGTTACTGAACATAAAAAGGGTCACAGTACAGTGTTCAGACACATCAGAATATGGTGCTAAATTAACATCATTTTACTGGCTTGCAGTCAGAACTAGAGAAGGAACAAACATTAAGAGATTTTACACTTTTAGTGTATTAAACTCAGTGCTCTTCAAATTGGAAGGGATCAAAACTACTACATGACAACTGTGTTCTGATTTCAACATGTATCCTATGGGCACCCACATACTGTACATATCTAAAGAAACTCACCAACAGTTTAAGAACTCTGATCACCAAACTGGCACTATGTGCGGGACAAGGAACTAACCTGGATTCAAAGCATGAGATTTATAACATTCAAGCAAGAGGAATTGCTTTGGATGAGGAAATGTTCTCAATGTACCTTGTTTCCTTGATAAGGAAAAGCCTTCAGTCTCTAGTACTGATATGCCACATTTCATGAGCACAAGAACTAATATTTGTCACATGATCCAATTCTAAGGCAAAATAAAAAGGAAAAAAAAAAGAACACACACACTCATAAAATGCATCAGCATTGACCACGACTTTAAAAAACACCACCTGGATTTCAATTTGATGTTAATACTTCTTTCACCTGTAGCATAAAGGTCTATGTTGTTTACTTACAAAAAGTGAGGTTGTTTGTAAAGAGTTTGTAACCTCATATCCTTCTTTCAACAGACAGGAGGAGATACTCCTTTCAAAATACTATTTCCTGTTCATGATCATATCCCTTCTAGACTACAGTTTTACAGTCTATTAAAATGCCTGACTGTAGCACAGGTTTTCTTCCCTAAATTTAGTCTCCTGAGGTTTCCACATGTATTCTTTTCCATTTTGGTGCCATATTTCTTCCCTTTTGAAGGATCAGTTCAGTCTTTCTCAGGTGCTGGTTAAAACTAATCCAGCCATTTTCTTCTCAGAGTATTTTCAAATGATCCTCACATTAAAATCATTCTAAGGAGATTCCTACTAAAGCCAAAAACACTAAATATTGATCTTCCAACAACTTCCACATTGAAACTTTCCATCAAATCACCAGCAACAAAAAAATATTTGTGCTTAAATATCTTGAGCTTAAAAGATTGAATGACCTCGATATAAAGGTGACACTCGAGTTATATCAAAAACAATGCAAGGATGAAAAAAAGTGTAAGAAGTAGATCCAAAATTCCAGGTTAAAGATAATTAATAATAAACTGACCCTCATCACATGCAAGTTTATAAAAGGTAGAAGGAATACACTGTCAAAAGGATTTTTCCCTCTATTTTGTATTTAGGATATATTTAGTCATGTGCATGAAAGATGTTACTGATTTTGAAAGCCAGCAGAGTGAAAAAAAAATTCTGATTTCTCCACCTCTGTACATCAATTATTTAAAACAGACAGTATTTACCATCTAATGCACTTTAGCAATAATGCACCCAAATTCAGGTACTGTATCAAGCAAATATTCCAAGAAAATATTTACCCTATTTCCCGTAAGAACCATAATCCAATTTCTCACTCCAAATACACAACTGAATTTTGTAAATTAAAACCTGGTTTAAGATCATATATGCAATAGCAAATGTATTTGAACTGAGCTTTGTTCACTCCTTTACAAATTACTTAGGATTTTTAGATGTCTTCTTTTTAAATCCGCCCAAAATGAGAATGCAAATGCAATCCATCAAAAAGCAAGGAATTTCAACGCTTAGAACAATGTTACTATTATCTCTTACAATATGCAACATATGCCCTTGTACTAAAAGATTCCTCAGTTTATGATGCTGCACAACAGAGATAACTTTAACAGAACTCAGACATTCACAAGGATGAATAATAATCTACTTCATTTAAAAAGGTTAAAACAGCATGGAAAGTATTCAAACCAAACTCAAATCTCCTATTCACCAAACTGGTCAGCGTTATGTTTTCATAAGCAGACAACTTGACAGGAAAGGTCTAGTTCCCCCTAACAAAACACTGTGTCATTTTGATTCTGTTGGCAAAACTAACACGTCTACAGATTTGGGGCTTAGGCTATCACCAAGATCATCAGTACTCTGTAAAATCCAGCCAAAGAGGGGGCATTATGACCATAAAAACTCCAAAATGCCTTTTTTGTATTAATACATCTTTGTTCTCTAATGCTGAAAAACTCTATGAACTCTTACCCTGAATGACCTTTCAAAAGAGTTTTGCCTTCTTTTTATTAGCAGTTGTACACATATGACGCCCTGCTGTATAGTTCTGTGATACTTTCCAGGGTCATGGGAGAAGGAAAGGAGGGAGGGGGGAAAGAACATAGTCATTTAAGACATAAACCCAAATAAACCAACAAAGCAGTTAGGTGATGGGGAAGAACTGCACAAAATACACATCACACCCCAGGCAAAACTGAGTTGCATCAGCCACTTGTTTTTTAGACTGAGGCTGGGCAACTATAAAAGAAAGTTAACTGCAAAATCCAGCTTCAGCACTCCACAGGTCCCTTCCCACCCAAACTACTCTGTGAGTGATGACTGGGCAGGGAGCCAGGAAGTGGAAAACAGCATATACTTACACAGAGACAATCTGAAGCAGTGTGGCTGTATTCTAGACCAGTGTTTAAGAAACCAAATTCAATTCTAATGAATAAAACCAGAATGATTGAGTGTGAGGTGAGAGTGTAAGGTGTCCCTGCCCATGGCACGGGGGTTGGAACTTGAACGTAAGGTCCTTTCCAACCCTAACTATTCTATGATTCTATGATTGTGCCATAAAATAAGAGCACTTTAAAAAATGTTTCAACTTTATAAGCCATTGGTAGGCATGAGATGCCCAACCATGACCTGCACTGGGAAATGTTTATGGAGTTTAAGCAACCATAGTATTAGACAACTAAGATGTTAAAATACTTTGTCCAGCTGCACATTAGGTAATCATAAATGTCCTACCAAAACTGTTGTATTTACGATATTGAACTCAGCAACTGTATTGGTTTCTGCACTAAACAGACTTTGGTCATCTTTTTTGGTTTAAAGCCCAGAACAAACCTTAGTAACAAGACAAACACTTTCCAAATTAGTTTTCACTTCTGTCATGTCAGACAAAAAGAAAGTAGGTATCTGAATGTAGCTGCTGTATCAAAAAGGAAAGTATATTCAGTTTGTTTCTGTATCCTATGTGTAAGCAGGGAAGACAACAAGGCTAGCAGTGAATTACACTGAATATATACTTTTAAGAAACAGAAGTTTCCACTGGAATTCAGTTTTCTCTTTTAACATGAACTCTCTAATGGTTGTCTCCTAGCAGATACAAGGCAGACAGGACGAACACAGATTCACCCCACTGAAAGAATGTACAAAAGAGCAGATTTAAAATAAACCCCAGATAAATGCATGCCTTCACTAAGCATATACTTCAATAACATAGCTAAATAAGAGTAAGTAAATCCATTTTCTTGTGTCCCCACTCACCAACAGTAGAAAAATGAAGAAAATCTCAGGTAATAGCTGCGTTTACTGTCATCTACATATGTACAGACATCCATACAGTGCAAATGAGGCCAAACAGGTAACCAGCAAGAAATAAAGGAACATAAATAGAAACCTATTTTAGGCACTTAACCAAGAATTTGTAGGAATTTTGTTGATTACAAACATGTTTCCTGTTCTCCAGTGTCCATTCTGGATAGGAAAACAATTTGCTGAAAGATGGGAGAATAAAAAGGACTTTATTTTGCATGAAAAGCCAGCAGGGATTTCTAAACAAGCCCAGATGTGTTTCTGCCAGTGGGGGGCCGTGATCTCCATCACCTTTCAGTCTGACAGGCATTCTGCCTGCTTGGGCTCCTATCAGATATATCCCTTCTGGAGAAAGCTGGCTTGCTCCTGTCAAGTTCCTCACCACTTACAGATGCTGCCAAATCAAAAAGCTAGTTACACAACTATCAGCTGGGTTGTCTTCCTTCCAAGCAGAGGCACCACTCCTTATAAAAACACAGTTTATACTGAGCTAATTGTTTTGTTTCACTTTACTCATCAGTATAGTAGAAGAAAAAGAAAATTAAAGCAACAGACTGAGCTTAAGAATATTATTCAAAGCTGGTGCTGTTTCAGGATGTGTTTCTCAAATCAATTTGGGTAAATCCAAATGACAGGCATTCACTGGCCTCTTCAACCAGGTCACCTGGACCACACTGAACTCCACAGTAACAACTGCATGATTTCCCCTTAAAAGGGGGGGTTGCACATCAGAAAGTAAAATAAAACATACAACTCAAAGTACAATACACATCTACTTTTTAAAACCAAAGACAAGTTAATATAAAACAACACACTAATTATGGCTCAGTACTGAAGTGCTTTCTTAAGCTCACATTACAGACTCTGCATCACATGCTGCCCAAATTCCTTCGTATTTGGCTGTTCAAAAAACCCACACATGCACACAAAGAGAGCTGAAAAACTCCATACCCACAATAGCAGCACCGTCTTTCCACTGCAGATATTATACATAAAATACAACCTGTACCGATGCCAGAAGGCATGTTTGACTTGCTGAGAAACAATATGGCATCTCCACAGTGTTTCAATCCATCAAATGGTCATTCATTTATCCTGCACCTGCTCAGACTATAGGGAAAATCTTTCTATACTATTGTTCAGCTCAACTCCTTGAACTAGGGAGGAAAAGGCCTCAGACCTCCAAGAACTGACCCATCAACAGCTCTACCAAAATGAATACACCAATACTGTGCACTTTTCTAGAAGGCAGGTTTTTAAAGAAGCCCCCTGCTATTGAACACAATCCAACTGTGCACTCTAATGGCCACACACAAGACACCTGAGCAAAACACATTCTGCTATCTGTTAGTACTTGCAAGACCATAGGAAAAACTAAGATTTTTCTGTTTCTACTTCTGGATTAAATTGAGAAAGAAGGGGATAACAAAGAAATAACTTCTAAGTTTAAGAAACTGATTTCACTGAGCACCTTTCTTATCCCGAGCATGGCAACAAAAAGTCTACAGGGGGGTATATACAGTGTTCTTTATGCTCATGAATGAGTAGTACCTTCCATCAACAGAAACCTTAGAAATGAAGAATATTTCAAGTTCATCAGTGCCTGTAGAGTAATGTGTAATGGCAACCAACAATAAATCCTTCTTCCCAAAACCAGCAAGTTACAGACACTATAAAAACAAGCAGCTGTGTTTATAACTGAAAGCTAGCTTGAAGGCTGGAGTCCCTGCAACATCTACCAAGTCTGGCTAGCTAAGGTCCAACCACCTTAATGAATACCCCCTCAATGAAGGAGTTTTGAACTTGAAACTCAAGAAAAGCATGCAATTTCACAGCAATTTAGAATTAACATTCCCAGCTTAAATCACACAAGCAGATCTCCCAAACGGAAAGGCACAGGTCAGCAGCTGCCAATTCAAATATGGCAAAACCGATTCTGGTGGTTCCCCCCTTCTTCTGGGGAATAAACCTTCACTGTTTCCCTCTGTCATTTTCAACTATTAGCAAGCAGTGACACTGTGGCAACATGGTGTAGAGTCACATCTTTGAACTGGCTCAGAACCTCAGAAGCACCGACAGTCTGCCAACAGAGCCTTTCAAAAGGCTAGAAGCGTGTCAAAGACTCAAGGGACTATGACTGGGTTTGAAATATTGCAGGTCAAAAAAGGACACATTTTGATATTTCTTCTTCACCAGCCAGGAACCCTCCAACACCACATTCATTATACCTGAAATAATGGGAAACTACACAGCTTACTAGGGTGAAATGAAAGTGTGTTCCTTTTTAATGAAATACAGTTTTATACGAGTATGGGCATGTTTAAGTGAATGTCAACAAAAATAGCAGTTCAAAGCAGAAAAATTAATTTTTGCTGTGCTACAGTTGGGCAAGTTACTATGACAAAGCTGGTAACGACCCCAGATAACTGAAAAACTAAGGTTACAACACAATGCATCTGGTAGTTACAGTCATAACCCCAGAGAACTTGAAGAGCAAAGCTAACAGTGAAATGTATTTGCATAATTCATTCATTCTATTGTTGCATGACCAGGATTTTATTTTCTGAGACTATAAATGTTAAACATGAACAATTTGTTAAGTATCTTCAATTTTCCAACTTGTTTTCCCCTGTGGGAAAAATGCCTCAATAGCTTAGAGGTGAAATCTGTAACAACAGCCAAAGCAAAAACCCCTCCACAATAGCTATTAGTCAAACAGCTGCCACTTCATACTAGAATAGGCTGATCAAATTCTGACAGTTCTGAGCTCTGTAACCTTTTTTTCCACATTTCTTCTCAATTTGTTGTCCTCACAAATCTGTGTTGAGAGACATAACACAAGCAGCTTGCCTCCAGCTGGAATGGCAAGCAAAACAGTCTCCCTGGAGCCAGTACTTTCAAAGATGCTCCCAAATATGCTCCTACATTCATTTCACCCAAAGGAATGTACAAGGAGCCTCACTGTATTTCTCCACCTATATGAAACATACACAAACTACTGACCCAGCCCCATTTCACTCCAATTCAACCTATAGCAAACCTGAAATTACGGCTGCACTTCTGAAGGTCAATTCCCTGGCATTACTGCACCGCATTCCAAAAGGCTGATATCAACATTCCTTCCTAGAGAGCTTGAGACTGGATTGGTGACTGAAATGAAGGTAGGTGGCGTGCAGAAGTGGAGTTGTTAAACAGCTGGCAACATCTGTGTTTCAGCTATTATCACACAACAATTACTATGGCCAAAATATTGAGCAATTTTTAGACTTGTAACAGTTTCCACATTCATTTTATTTCCTCTGATGTTTTCAGCAAAAAGCAGTAGTCACGAGGAAAAACAGTAGAAAATAGGTTTAAGTAACAGCGATCACTTGATATTGCTTTTGTACCCAAGATGAGGCTTCTAATAGTTCAGAACGCCTTCTATTTTGAAGCATCTTGCTCAATAGCATGAACAGAAATGGGTAGAACAGAAAATCTTGGTAAGTTTTTCCAAGCTTATCCACACTATAAGTCATAAAACTCTCAAATCACTTTGAGTATGTCTTGATTATATTAAATATAAATGCTAATGAGAATACTGCAGGAATCCAGAGTCATCACTTCTACATTCCTTAAGAGTTCTAATTTGTTTCCCTAATGTTTCCTTATCCTGCACAGCCAGCAAAGAGAAACAACACAGAAGCATGAAGATGCATACTGTATAAACACTCCAAGGTGTTTATGGCATTATGCATACCATAAGTATGCAAAATAACAAGTGAAGAAATCCGAAGGGAACTCTATGAAAATTTCATCTAAACAATTTAATATTCTAGTGTCACAGAATCATAGAATAGTTTGGGTTGGAAAGGACCTTACGATTATCCAAGTTCCAACCCCCTGCCATAGGCAGGGACGCCTCGCCTTAAACCAGGTCGCCCAAGGCTCTGTCCTATGTGGCCTTGAACACTGCCAGGGATGGAGCATTTACCACTTCCTTGGGCAGCCTGTTCTAGTGCCTCACCACCCTCACAGTAAAGAGCTTCCTTATATCTAATCTGAACTTCCCCTGTTTAACGTCAAACCCACCATCTCTTGTGCCATCACTATGTATCACTAGTTTACTGCCTGTGATTTACAGCCAAGTACATCTGCCAGGATTGAAAAGAAAGACTAATCCAAAATTCACCTCAGCAAATTACCCTATACAGATTTGAGATAGAAGATAAAAAGCTCCATGGGACAAGAGAATAGTAGGTTAATGTCTCACTTCAGTCAGCAATGAAGTAAAGCAAAAGGAACTGGATCCCAAGTTCATTCATCTCAACAAAACTGGGATTACTCCTGTTACTTCATGGCATAATTTCTGATGCCCTCCACTCTTATAAGTTATGCTGAGTCAGGTAATCAGAAACAGAGCAGCACATTTTCTCTTCATATTTCCTCAAAATAATTTGTTTATGAAGCAGACACTGATGCTCAGCACTGGGTATAAAATACATTTTTTTGTATGCATGTATGAGAAACTGGCCTTTTCAGACACCATTAATTTGCATATGTCCTGTGAGTCCTGTGTATTCAATATATACTCATATGCATTTCAAAGCTTCACCCTCCATGAACTTACACACAAAGATTTGCATGAAATACACTCTGCAAAATAAACAAACACCTCAAACCAACAAACTGGTAAAGGGAAGCCAGGATAAACTCAAACTCATTTTAAAAGGCACACTGTGTTGCTAAATATGGTGATAAATTAATAAAAGCAAGAATAAAGGCCAGCAAAGCCACCTGTAAAACTTAATTTCTTAAATGATAAGAAATTTCTGCTGCATTGCCTTCGATCAGAAGAAATATACCAGCACTTAACCATGTCTTGCAACAGTACATTGATTAATTCACAAGACTTTAAACACACAACAAAAACCATCCTTCTATCTAGCTGATACAACAAATGGAGTTGCAAACTGAAAGATTACCCAAATTAAAACCTGTGTGGTTTTAAGGCTGTTAATTTTACATCCCTGCTCTCATGACACTTTCTACTAAGCACAATCATAACATTAAGTTGACTCCTACCTGAAAACCTACGCTTTCAGCAGCAAATTAATCCTAGTACCACACTAAACCATCGTTCAGTTCCAATTCAGAAGGAAGAATCAATCTTCAGGTGAAATTACACAAGATCAAGTGAGCCTTTAAGGTCCTGCTCCTGCCTGATCCCAGCCACATGGCACCATTCCTCAGATTCCTCGGATACACAGTTGTGAAGCCCTTCACTGCATATTAGGCTGCAGAAAGTCAGATAGTTATCTGTGGGTTAGTGAGCTGAAGGGGTTCACAGGAGGTATCCAACAAAGACAGGAAAAAATTTCCAAGATGGAAGCTGAGATTTCTCATATTTTGCACCCAAAAAAGCAGCAGATCAGCTCCTAGTTGCTCATTAGTATGATTTTCCTGAAGAATGTGGGAAAGAAAAATCCTGAAAACACCTAAATACCAACCCTGCTCGTAACAGCTTGTGAAATCCAATAGGATCAAGGAACAGTGTGAGCCTGTAGGCTTGCTACAGGTTGGAAGACACCTTTACAGCTATAAATGGTAACCAACATGTCTAACATCCCAACATCTTTCAACAGCTTATCTTTAAAGCAAACCAACAATTACATTAAAATAAAGAATTTTATTGACAAAACTAACTTAGACAAAATGTATTCACTTACTGAATCCAGAAAGCAGAGATAGGCTCCCGAGCTCTGAATGACTGCTTGATTTTTAGCAAACCCAACTGTTGAAAAAACAAAGATAAAATTATGTGGCTGGTTTTACTGTTGTATTTTTTTTAAATCTTACTACCATCAGGAACAGATGAAAGGAAATACAAAAATCAGGATCACGGGAAGTACATGATTTTTCCATATTTAAAGCAAGGTCATTTGTAAATAGTTAATCAGTATGCCTATTTCAGTCATCTTCTCTGAGTGATTATCAGTTCCATGTGTTATAATTCTACCACCAAATAAACTTGGGCTACTTTTGCTAGTACTAGAAGAATATAATCTGCAATATCTACCTTGAAGAGTCAGCTATATCTCGGTTCCACATCCAGTACCTCAGATCATATAGTCACATAACGGCTTGGGTTGGAAGAGATTCCTAAAGGTCACCTAGTGCAACCCCCTGCAATGAGCAGATGCTGAAAACCCCTGGCTGTATATACATTCATCTCTTCAGTTCTAACAAATAATAACAAATCTTAAGAAGGAAAAGAAAGAATAAGAGCTTGCTATAAGAGCTCTTTCTTGAAAAGAAAGAATAAGAGCTAACCTGTTATACCCATCAGGGAAGTTCTGTTCTGTTCTGTTCCACTATGCTCGTTAAATATAAAGTATGTAAATACAAAAAACTTCCTGTGCCATTAGTGTAATGGCACAGGTAATGCAGAGGGGAACCAAAGCAGAATACATAACCAATGAGCACAAACCTGGCTTATTTAATACCACATATAATACCATCTATCAAAGACACTGAAATACAGATTTAGACAATTGACAACACTGGCATCCAGTCTTTTTGTTTCTGACCCCCTGACCCTTGCTGAATCTTTTACCAAGTCACTTCAGGAAGTTGAACTGAAAGAAAACCTTTTGTCAGCTTAATTTCGGAAGCAGATGACAGCATTGGCAGGTCAAACTAATGCCAGGGCAGAAATAAAAAAGGAGGGGGGACAGAGCAGCAATACACAGCCAAGGGTAAGGATGGGACTACAGCAACCAGCAAGAAGATGTATTTCAGTGGTAAACTGAGTTCATCTGCAAGGTTGTTTTATCTGGGAATATTTTTGCATGAAGACAAGACCTACCCAAGAACATGATGGTCTTTGAACTCTTCTCCCAGGCAGCATTATAAGAAGAGACCACGTATATCCAGAGTTATTCTGAAAAGTGCCATATGAATTCCACTTGGTCATAATACCTAACATTTAAGCTTCATTTAAAGTATTTATGGAACCCAGTCAAAGGAATACAGCAAAAGATTGCCCTGACATGCGAACCAAATGAGGTGAAGATATGCAATACTGTAGGGTTTTTATACTTTAATAGAAAAATCTGGAATCGTAAAGCCAGAAAAATCTCACCATGAAGTGAAGCAGGATCATTTTAAATAATACTGTCTCTAAAGTTCCTGCTTTTGCATTTGAAAAAAGCAGAATTCTGTAATTCTCCACTCTTTTTGTGATACAGGTTTAAGTTTACTCAGGAAACAAATTTAAGTGGGCTCAAAGGTTCACTTAGTTTTAATGTGCATGCTCCTTGGCTATTTTGCTGAGTTGTCCAAGTACAGAAAAAGCCTTATGACTGCATTTCTTACTGCCTCAAAGGAACATTATGTCAACTACCAACAGAATACTACAAATGAAGGCTCCTCCTCATAATTGTGCTATTCTTTTCGTACTTATTTTGAGTATTTTAATCCTTACCTTCTTATAATCATGGATTTCTCAGGCTTACTATCTTACAGTATATTACCTTTTTAGACACATATGAACATCTAATCTCACATATACAGTTACTCTCATTCTCCTTCCTATTGGCAGTAAAAAAGCAGCTGGCAAAGTCAGTAGCTACCACAACAGCAGAGCTGAAACCTGGCATGAGCAGTTTTAGTGGGAAACAACTGATGAAAGTTAGCAGGTCTGGACATGCCAAACAAGCAAAACCCCAACACTATGGAGGTCCCTACACAAGCGAGAGGTAGAAGAACAGAACAGAACTAAACCTGCCCAACATCAATGAAATCACTACTTTCACACATCATTACCAGCCGTAAAGCAGCCTGTACTTGTATTTCAATGCTATCATTAGTATACCCGATATTTCAGCAACCTTCAGCAGAAAATAATGAAGAACTAGGAATCAGCAGGAAAAAAAGAGAAGGCAGCTAAAGGCAACTACAAGATGACAATTATATTACTCAATGAATGTTCTGAAATATTTCAGATCTCTTTTTAAAATAAACCACTTTACATAAAATACTGAAATCTTTATGATTTGTTATGAGAAAAAGTTGGAACATGTTTCTTTCTAACATTAAGACAGAAATCATCCTGAAGCTTTTACTATACCAGCCATTTTTTTAAGGGGGATAGAAGAAAACACACATACTTTAGAGGTTATTAGTAAGGGAGATGTAACTTCCCATGGAAGAAACTAGATACTAAAACTGGTTTCAGCACAACAAATCCTATGCTTGGCATGAGGAAAAAAAATTTCTTTCATATTACTTTGCTGAACAAAATGCAACGTTTGTGCCAGGTCTCTGAGTTTTGTAAGGCCTGCTTACTTGGTGAAAAGAGCCTGTTACCATGGTTACAGCCGTAAAAACTTAAGCCTCAGTGAGATATTAACATTCCTCACTCTTGGAAAGAAAAAGGTTTCCTTTTTTTAGGCAAGTGACCCTTTCTTTTTTCTAGGTTCCCCCCCTTTCTTTTACATGCTAGAAAAGAATCAGGAATAAATCCTAATCTTGTGTAAATAGTTGAAGATGTGAAGCCTGACTAGTACATTGTTTCTGTACTAAAGCATCTTCTTTTAAAGGAAAGACTCCTTACAGTTGTAACTAGTCCTTAACATAATAAAAGTAAATCACTGAAAGCAAACAAATACTATGGATTTCAAGTAACCTGCTCCTAAGATGTAACAAAGAAAAGATGTCCTCATTTTAATGGTGACCTGAGAGTGACTTCCACATGAATAAGCTTGGGTTTGTTTTTTTTAAAACTCTGCATTTCATACTATTACTTAAAACAATGCTCACAGCTACATCCCCCACCCCCAATTTATTAAACATTTGTTCAGGTTTCAGCTATCCTAACACTAACAAATGCAAGTTAAAACCAAAAATAACCTGATATATCCCTAATGGCACAATATGCTCCCTATAGTTCACAATTCAGTTTTAGGTTCACCTTCCTAAAGTGCGAAGGTGAACTGACTTCAGAATTCTAGCATGACTTACTGCCAAAATGTTGTACTTGCGTGCAAACTAAAACCCAGTTTACACACAATTGCATCCTACCTAGCTTCTAGATCATCAACTAAGGGAAGTACAATCTGAAAAGAGACTGATCATCCAATAGTTGGAGAGGGGGGTGCGGGAAGATAGATAAATTTCCAGAAATACAAGGAATTCTTGACATTGCTTTATCTGTTGTCCAAAGGAAAAAAATTCCCTCTATGAATCTTGTCTGTCTTTTGTCAGCAGCTCAATAATGCTAATATTGAAAGCTACGCTGTCAAAACAACATCAGATCATGCTAGAAATATTAAAATACTTCAAATATTTATAGCAACAGTTATGCTGTATTAGTTCAGTATTGCTAGGTCTGACAACTGTTTAAAAAACAGCTTTAAATAAGTCCATAGTCAAAAGAAATGATAGTAAATAAAGCCAGGGTCCTGTACCAATGTGCAGATTAATTTAGTGCACAAATTCCAATTTTTCTGCATGTTTCAACATTGGATGATAATTAAACCTTCTGAAAAAGAACTGGGCTTTTTCGTAAAAAGATCATTTTGAGCTATCTGTAATAAGCCTGGGTTTCTTTCAGTTACAAAAGGGGTATTTTGTTAAAAAAAAAACCACCCAACAAACAGAAACTGACCAGATTTTGCATTACAGTGTTTCCAAGGTGTGCCTTTTAAGTGAAGTAACTGGAAAGACACACATTTGGAACCAATTTTCTATCAGGTCTTACCTGTCTACTCCCACAAAAATCCAGAATGATATACAACTCCTATACACAATGTGAACACCCTGTTCTGCTTGGTTTGTCCTGCTGCTCTCCTTTGGAATACAGACTAACACTAGCTTCTTCAAAGAGCAGTATGTTTTATTTCTATTTTACAGTTAAGCAAGCTTGTCTGCTAAAAAAAAAAAAAAACCAACAAACTCAAACCTTAACATAACCAAAACAAGCAAAAGAAGAACTCTTAGAGAAATTCGTTTGTTATCTCCTCCAGGGGTAAATGCAATTCATATTAGCATGTAAATTGACACGGAATCACATCATACACCTTTTCTGTAGCTCACTAAACATACTGGTTTAGCTCTTTGTCTAAACAGGTAGGAATTTAGTGAGAGTTTTTAGCTCACATCAAAACTTTTCTGAAACCTCTGTTTTGATCTGATCATCAAAAGAGAAAGCAAAAACGTATTTTGTTCTATTTCAGGGTCTATTCTGCATTTACTTTTTAAATCCTTCTGTGAGAAATTTTAGGTTTCTTTTTTCTTAAACCCCATCTCCTGAAGATGACTCGGATCTCCAAAAGCCAAAGTAAAACTGTAAGTGTTACCACCACTGTGTATACTACAACTAAACAAAATTCTTTTGCAGAGTAGCATGAGTGTTAAGCCAAGTTCTTCTCTCCTGGACATATAAACAAATCCTACAGAACCAAAACCAACAGGGCCAAATTTTAATTGGGAATGAGGTTTTGAACAGAGAGCTCTGGAACACATTGTGGGTTGGTTTTTTAACACTGCAATGCAAGTAGCTATAAAGACACTTTTCAAACTAAAAAATACAAGATGCCTGCGATAAGAAGCTAACTCTCCAAAAGAATCACTATTAAGCTACATACCGCCTCGAGGTTCAGATGAATCATTGCTACCAACAATTACTGGAACACCAGCATCTTCCAACTTCATCTTCCATTTTTCAATTATTTCAGCTGAAGCATCCTAGAAAAATGATGACACAGACAGCAGCTTTTTAAGTGTATGGTGAACCAAACACAGTCCAAACCAAAGATTCCTATCAGAGACAGTATTTACTTGGGCAGTATCTTAAATAAGGTTGGAAACATACCTCACTGGCATCATTAAAAACAGACAGCTCCATAGTTCCTTTAAAATCTTGTTCCCAAACTGACTTCAAGCATTCATCTAACCAGCATTCACTATTGTGAACAGGCACGATGACAGACTACAAGGAAAGAAACGAAAATTCCAGTGTATGTCAGTATGCACTATTTTTGTTTACTTACACTATAAGAATATTCATTAAAAAGGGCAAGTGCCAGATCTTGCTGAAACTCTCACAAAAAAAAAATGCACTTAAAAATAAAAAAGAAGGCAAAGATCCTCTCTTTTAATTCTAAATATATGATTGACTTTCTTCTTTATCAAGCTATCTTTTTCATTTTTTAAGTTATAAAATGGCTGTTGGTAGATCTCCAAGGAAAGAGACTACTGAAGCAAAAAACACTAACAAAACATCTGCAACACCACACTAACCTATTTCTAGTATTCCTGTATTTCTTAGGACACTCTAAGCTCACTACTTACCAGGAGATGCTCATATATGCAGCCTGTACCCTTGGGCTCTGACCATGTTTCTTAAAATGGCTCTATTTAAAACTGCTATTAAGCACATTAGATGCCGTTTGCCATACTTCCATAGTCTATGATTTCAACTTCAAGCTTTCCTATTACAGCCTCTACTGGTTCAGCCACACACATGCAAAGCATGAAAACCTACCTGAAGTATTTTAAAACTGGTTAGAAACCAGAGATGAGGGATTTTTCTGTTCAGTTACTCACCACTGTTCTAATTAGCCCCCCAAAAGCCAACAATTGCCCCCAAATTCTTTCAGTATCTCAAAAATAAACATTCTGGCTATGCTTGTAAAGGGAAAGGCCAAACCTGTACCTGCTAAGGCCTCTTCTAGATGGGAAACTTGAGGCAAAGAACCCAAGTAACCTGTAAAAAGTCTCACTGGACATTTTAAGAAGTTCCTAGAAACAGAACTTCAACTCATCAAGTGATGTAACCATAAACACGCAAGTTGAAGAAAGAGAAGGTTAGTTCCTATTGCATGTGAGGATCTTACAAAACAAAATACTAGAAGAATATTGAAATTTAATTAATCAAGATTTAGTGACATGTGAGTACATGTACACTGCAAATACAGGCAAATCATACATGAGTAGGAAGATTTGGTGCATGCTTTTGTTTTTCTACAGCAGTAGAAAACTCACAAAGAAGAAATGTGAGAACATTCCATAGCAAAATTAAGACTATTGTTGTCTAAATTGAATGAACAACCTGATTTTTGGCAGGATGCTGTAGGAGGCGAAAGGGGTATTTAAAAGAAGTAGGAGGAAATCTGTCTAAAGTTTTAAGCAAAGCAGGTCTTTGACTTCTGTTTTGGAGAGATAAATAAGTAGAAGGAGAAATAAAAACAAAAATATGAAATTAATTACCAAATAATTCCAACATACAGACAAAAAAAAAAATCAGAACTTTGAGACTAAAAGAACAAGCAAAAATATGAGATTCTAAACCAATATATATCAACTCTGAATTTTAATATCGTTTAGGTCTAGATGGCAATAAAAATGCAACCCTATGCATTTATACTAATCAATCTAACATATTCATTCAGAAAGAAAAGGGTTCTCCAAGTCTTCCAATGACCATATAAACTAGCCACAGGTTTTCACATCCAGAAAAACAAATCATTTGCCAATGTTTTCTGATTAACTCTGTAAAACTGTAACTATTGCATCACAAATCAGCTCAATATTGTCTTGAAAATTACAAAACTGGAACTTCTTTGGTTTATTTCCTCATAATGAACTCCTGGTTTAACTCAGGACAGCAGGGCAAAACACCACAATAAAGTTTGGACTTCAGTTTAGTTTGAACTGAAAACAATACTTTAATGGTAGCACGTGTAAAAGCATCCATAAGTACCTCACTGCACTAAGGTACTCAGGACTTAACATAAAAACTCATAACAGATTAGTATGAAACACAAAATTTGCAGCTGGTACTTGTCCTGAACTAGGCATTCATAAACTGGCCTTGATCCTCAAGTAACTGTACCAGAACACTTCAGTCTCCTTATTTCATTTAAGGAGGGGAAAGCATCAACCAGGGCACTGTTGCACTTATGGATTCATATCAAAAAACCCCCAATGAGCTGGCAGTAACCTCAAGAGACAGTCTCTACTTCTTCTGTCCCAAAACATGTCAACTAAAGCTGACAAACATCTCCAGGGACAGAAACACCAGCCTTGCTAAGGCAATCTCTAAAAGCAGGCATAAAGGAGACCTGGCATACCATCTTCCAAATGGCTGAAGTAATTTTGCTGCAATTTATGCCAACTACCACTTCCTGGTCTCTGCACGGATTATTATTCCAGTTCCCTTTGCAGTAGCCTTTCATATATTTGAAAACTGGTACTATAATATTGAACTACAAAAATACACAAAGCTCCTGCAAAGTAACTTTGAGTGAACACAGGGACACAAATTGAAACAAGTAACGTATTTTTGTCATTGGAATATCAAATGAGTGACAACTGAGTCAGAATTGTCCTTTCACTAGCAGAGAACAATTCATAGTAGGATCCAACAGAGGAACATCCTCACAGCCTGTAAGCCAAGCACAACAGTTAATATACAGAACCATGATCTGGTTTTAGAATCATAGAATCATAGAATAGTTAGGGTTGGAAAGGACCTTAAGATCATCTAGTTCCAACCCCCTGCCATGGGCAGGGACACCTCACACTAGAGCATGTCACCCAAGGCTTCGTCCAACCTGGCCTTGAACATCACCAGCGATGGAGCATTCACAACCTCCCTGGGCAACCCATTCCAGTGCCTCACCACCCTCACAGGAGGGAATTTCTTCCTTATATCCAACCTAAACTTCCCCTGTTTAAGTTTTAACCCGTTACCCCTTGTCCTATCAGTACAGCCCCTAATGAAGAGTCCCTCCCCAGCATTCCTAAAGGCCCCCTTCAGATACTGGAAGGCTGCTATGAGGTCTCCATGCAGCCTTCTCTTCTCCAGGCTGAACAGCCCCAACTTTCTCAGCCTGTCTCCATACAGGAGGTGCTCCAGCCCCTGATCATCCTCGTGGCCTCCTCTGGACTTGTTCCAACAGTCCCATGTCCTTTTTATGTTGAGGACATCAGAACGGCACACAATGCTCCAAGTGAGGTCTCAGTATTCCAAGTGAGGTTTTGAGCATTGTGACACTACCTGGTTTTTCCTGAACTTCTGATACTCTAGAGTAAGACCTGAAACAATTTCGGATCTTTTTAGTAGTGCCGTTTTGCTATCACTAAGCTGAAGATGATGATTCCCAGCTTTGCTGCAAAATGAATTTTGATATATGGCAAAGATGGCAGAATGTGAAATGGTTAAAAGGCAGCTCAATCCCTTTCCTTCTACAAATGTATTCACCAAAAAAAAAAACACTCTCGTCCTCCCTCAGCTAGGCCTGAAAACCAACACATCAACCACAAGATAGAAGGAGAAAAAAGTGAGGTTTTAAAAACCAGTGTCAGAAACCATGCACTTGAGAATGTTTTGAATCCAAGAGCTCTCTTGTTGCTGGTATTACCACCAGCATCCTTCACTAAGAAGATACCTACTGACCAATTCCAAAGTGTAAACTTACTTTCACTTTCCACAAATTTCAGGGCAAACAGACGCCCACTTCCACATCAGAGTGTGGGAAATCTATTTTAAAAATCACTTTCACACTGCTGAAGATTCCAGATTAATCAGAAACCACTGTTTTTAAACAGTTTTCATACGAGTCATTATTTCAAGCCATTTAGAAACTCACGGCTGCTGGCAGAAGCACACTCGTTTTGCCACATCTCCTACGCGGGTTACTTTAAACAAACCCAGAGAGACTTTTCAGGCCACAAACTTTGACCTGCCTTTAGGATGCGAGACTCTGTGAAGCTGTCCATCATTTTTGCTTGCCTATTGATCTCTATGGGTTTGCTTTTCAGATAGCTGGCTCACTAAACCTAAATCACTGCCAAACCACAACAGTTGTATGTGTATAAACGTGAAAAAATAGTAATAATTAAGAATAAACCCAAACATTGTTACAGGGAGCACTAATAACGCCGGCCCGTCACTGTGCAGGGCCAGGCGGCACATAGCCGAGGCTGAGCCACAAACCCCGCTGCTTTCCTGCACCGAGCAACCGCTGCACCCACACACCTCCACGGCGAGCACCGTGGGGAGCGGGGAGCAGGGAGCGGGACCCGGGGCTCAGCCCCGAGCTGTCCACCCGGCCCGGCCTGCCCGGCGCCCCGGCTTCCCTCAGCCCCAGCCCGCCTGACACGTACCACCTGGACGGCGCAGCCTCGGCCCGCCGGCGGCCGGGGGGGCACGGGGCGGCGGGCCCCAGCTCTGCCCGCCTCCGCCATGACAGCCTCCGCCTCTCACTCCGGAACGGCCTGGGGGAGCCGGAGCTCCAGGCCGGGGTGGAAGCGGGGGCCCGCGGGGTGCTGCCGGTCTACCCCCCCCGCCGCTCCCGCTCCTCACGCCCGCGCCGCCGCCGCCGCCTCGTCCCTTCAGGCCTTTCCCGCCCCGCGCTCCAGCGGGAGCTGCCTCAACGCGCGCGGGGCAGAGGAACAAGGATGGCTCCGGCGGCCGGAAGCTGCTTTGGGCGACGGGCTAGGCCGGCGGCGAGCAGCGAGGCGCTGAAGGGGGAGGCCGGGCCGGGAGGCCGGGAACGGCTTCGGCCTGGGGCTGGAGGGCCCCGTGAGGCGATTTAAAGCTTTAAAGGTGCGAGGTGTCAGCTCCGGGTGCGCTGGTCGAGCCGCAGGCAGCTGAAGGTCTTCTCTGTGGAGGCAGCAATTAGTTAAATAAGCGGTGCCTGCGGTTTCCCACCCGTTCTCTAATGGCAGTGTTTTACATGTGTCTCTCCAGTCAGCACTGGGCTGCTCAGTGCGACCAGGGCCTTTTCCAATGAAAACGAGGAAATACTTCTTGGCTGCAGTGATACCATTATCGATCATTTACTTCCATGTGCAGCCACTTGGTCCCCTGGAAGTATTCACAGCTAAAAGGTACAGCAAGAGCAGGCCCTGTACAACAACCTGTTTTAAACTTTGCACAAAGCGATCCTTGTTGAGCAAAATCCAGAGATTATCCCTTGTTTATCTGAAGAGCGTTCAACAGCCAGACAATGCAAGCAGCAAACAGAGCAGAGTTATCTTAAAGTGTTCTCTGGCACACCAGTCACAGAGCTGAGGAGGTGAGGACGACAGCCAAGCAGTAATTCACCCTCGGAATCTATTTCAAGTTATCTACACGGCTTCTCTCCATCCAGCCTCAGTTTAATCTCTCTGTGAACAGCACTGCTGAATACGATCATTGCTTTCTCTGGCCATGAAGGCTGAGAGCACTTCGATGCTGCCTGCATGCCTTGTGTTATCTAAGAAAGTGTAGCAGAGTATTGCTTTACTCGCTCTGAACCAAACAAAAGTCCCAGTCAGGGACCAGTGCCTCATTATGTGAAGCAGTCTACAAAACGCAGAGCAAACCCCATACTTCCTTCCCAGAGGAGAGCACAGAACCGACCAAAACCACCAGCAATGTTATACTCTGCAGCTGACCACCGAGGGTAATTAAATACAAACATCTCCTTAAAACGTGGTTCTCATTTGGGGGGATTTTGGACAGACTTTTAAAGGCCCACAAGCATGCAGAAACCATTCAGGGGGATTTTCAGTGCAACCTAGGCATCTAGCTTCCATTGTGAGAGTTGTTACCTACTGGCTTTTGAAAACCTAGCAGGCATTTCTGTGTTCTTGGGCAATTAAATAGTTTTCAAAATACAGTCCATTGTTTCAGTGCCTGTTCCTCTTTCATGTGGGTCAGAATGGAAAGAAATCTAATGGTGTCGCGACAGACTCATTTAGAAACAAGCAAAAATGGTTTGGTCCTAGTTGTACTTTCAATTGCTCTGCTTCATGGGTTTTTCAGAGTGGTGAGGAACAGCACAGAAAGTTCTCGCAGCTAAAAGCATTCCAGAGTCTTAAGACTTTTCTCATCATACTAGTTTTTAGCTTTTATTTCTGATAAAACAGTCTCTTGAGGATCATTACTGTGAACCTAAAACCTGCAAATTCTGGAGGCTTGAGCCATCAAGTAGAAAGTTTCCTCATCTTGATGGAAAGAAACGGTATCTGGAAAGTTGTTTTGCTTTCTACATTTAGCTGTCATTTCAAAAATGACACAGCCTAGTTATAGTAGGAATAACTTAGACCTATTGACTTGTGAGGACAGATCTCAACTGATTCACTGGGAGTTTAAAAGAAAGACAAAAAAAGGACTCCTTGTGTAGGCTGTCACTGGGGTTTTTAGGCCAAGTCGGCTTGGGTTTAGTTTCTTTTTGTACGGGTCAAACTGTAACTGGGAGGGTAAGAGAGTATCCTTACAAACAAATCAATTTCTTGGTGTTGTGGAGCATGTGGGCAACTTAATTCAGGCATATCTTTATTGGGATGACTGAGTGAGTATAGAGTTTTCTTCTAACACCTTTGTTGCTGAATTTGTAAGTTTCACTACTGAATTATTTCCAGAACACACCATATTGAAAGGATCATTCAACAAAGTAGGTAAAATATTCAGTTTACAGCTAGCTTTGAAACCACTTCTATTCAAAGAATGCTTTGAGCTTCCAAAAATGGTCAGTTATGTTCATAAATATCACTGTTAAGTGGCAAGAGGGGTGCAGTATTTCTTATTATAGTACTATAGGGCAGAATGGGATTTGAGAAGCTCATCTAGCAGTCGTGCCATCCTAAGACAGGATCAACTTTGTCATAAACTTAAACAGGGGAAGTTTAGATTGGATATAAGGAAGAAATTCTTTACTGTTAGGGTGGTGAGGCACTGGAATGGGTTGCCCAGGGAGGCTGTGAATGCTCCATCCCTGGAGGTGTTTGAGGCCCGGCTGGACAAAGCCTTGGGTGCCCTGGTTTAGTGTGAGTTGTCCCTGCCCATGGCAGGGGGGTTGGAACTGGATGATCTTAAGGTCCTTTCCAACCCAAACCATTCTATGATTCTATGATTCCTGACAAATAACTACTAGCCTGTTCACAAAGGCCTTCCTCCAACAATGGAGGTTTCAGAACATCCTCAGACAATTTATTGCAGCCCTCAATATCTTTACCCTTAGAATGAATTTCTTAATATCTAGACAAGGGGTAATGGGTACCAGTTACTGCTGAGGAGATTCTGACTGGACTCAAGAAGAAAAATTTTCCGAATGAGAATTATCAGCCATTGTAATCATCTCCCCAGGGAGGTGGTGACTCCCCAGCACAGGACGTCTGGCCATGGTGCTGAGACATCTAGTCTGGGTCATGCTTTACCTAGAAGGGATGGACCAGATCTTTTTCCCCTAGCAAAAACATCCAGACACCTATCATTGCCTCAGTTTTAGACTTGTTGAGCCTATTGCATGACTTCCCTCTGTTACACAGAAGCTCCTTGCTCTCTCTCTTCACAGAATAAAGTCTTCAGTTCCCCGGTTTAGGTAGCGTTAGTAGTTTAAATACTTTCCCTTAGGCAAAAGTTAGCCTCCTTTCCTCCTACCTCAGCTGATTCACCAAGTTGACCACATTTTAGGCCAGATGTGAAAAGTTTTGCTGGGCTATTAAAACAAACCAAACCAACAACCTCACCACCACCACCCCCAGCACTCTGTCCTGCTTTTTTGCAGGCCTAACAAAGAAATAACTATTTCATTATCAGACATAGAGTCAGTACAAATGAGAAGGCAACTAACCTGCCAAAGATAAGACCAGAATCCCTTATACAGGACACAGCCCAGCATCCCCTGAGTCTGTAGCTCTGCCCTGAGCTTTCAGGGGTGCTCTCACAGCTCTCTCCCCAGCGGTTTATCCCTGCAGCTGTGCTTTCCCTCTCAGCTGCCTTCTGGCTAATGCCTATGTTAACTCGTAGTTTGCCTGAGAGGGCTTGCAAACTCCATCCCAAATCTGTTATTCCTTATCCACCCTGCACCCCGCCACAGCCACTATTTATGTATTGTCAAGTTGCTGTCACAGTTCCCTCCCATCCTGCTCTCTTGTTAAGGTTATGCACATCTGATTCTTTCAGCCCTTCCTCGCTGTTCTTTCTGTGTTCAATCTCATCTGGACTCTCTTTGGGTTCTCTGCATCTCCACTGGAAGATGAGACCCAGCGCCAGACCTGCGGTTCCTGCTGGGGTTGGACCAGTGCTGGGCAAGCAGGATTACTTCGCATGTCTTGCAGGCCCTACTCCTGTTTGCACAGCTTAGTGCAGTGTTTGCCTTTTTCACAATGGCTTGACACTGTTGACTCGTAATCAGCTTGTGATCTATTATATCCCCTAGATCTTTTTCTGCATGAGGGAAACAGTATTTTAGCAGTTTTATTCCAGTCAGCCACATGAGAAGAAAATGACTGAAGTAGTGTGAGTGAGATTATCTTCTTTGTGCTTCAATACCAGAATTGTTTACTGGTTTCCAATTAGTTACATGTGTACACCCCGTTAAGGGAGTTGCACAAGTGCTGCTAATGCCTTCCTTTGGCCTTCAGAGCCTTTATTACTAGTGGAGACTAGTACCTAGGAGTTATTTGGGCCAATTTCCCTGTGTACTCAAGACTTCAAATGCTCCGCTGAAATTGCAGGGCTGATTGCTCTGAAAAAGCCTCTTACAATTTAGAGATACTGAGGTTGAATAATCTTGTTGAAAAATTCTGTTGCTTTTTTGAGAAGTGGTGTGTGAAACATTTGTCTCTTCAAAACACTAGCTGTTGTTACAAAGGATGTTGCTGTTGCTTGGTTTTTTTTTGTTAAATGAGTCAATCTGAAGAAGCCTGTGGTTGTTTTAATGAGCTGGCAAATGTCACAAATATTTTGTTAACAGGAGAACTGGACTTAAGTACTTTTGTGGGTAAACTAGAAAGATGGCATTCATTTCAGTACCAGTCCACACCTCCAAACATACACTCTTCTTGACCACCACCAGTCATCCCGCTCCCCATTTCATGTCCTCCCATCACCCTGCTGGGCCACACTGCAGTTTTCTGCAGGTCCTCTGTTCTGCTTAAGCTATCCTCTTAGCTGCTTTAGTTCAGGCTACTGAGTATACTCTTACGTTTAGTGTGGCCTTGTGGCAATAAGGCTGCAGGATATAAAGTAGTGGCAAGGGAGAGGCACAGTTTTTCCACAGAGCTGAAGATCATCAATGCAGGTTTTTCTTTACCTAGGGCTCCAATACTTGAACAACCTTTATGCAAAGTTACACTTTCATTTGTCAATCTTTTCATAAAGGAATGCTTCTATATAATGTGTGTATATAGAGAATGCAATAAAAGAAACATTTGAAGTCTGCTGCAGAATGCAGTGATAGGCAATAACCACCTGGTTAATACAGCTTAGTTTTGTTATTAAGTAACCAATTTGAAACCTAGTAAAGTCATAATGGTATTTTCCTTACTTACCCGAAAAGCTTTAT